TTTCTTTAAATTTGAGTCATCATTCCTTCTGAAAATGTGAGCTGCCCAGTTCATTCGATTTATTTTAATGAATTTCACAATATCTGGCTCTCTGTAGATTTTATACAGTTCAGTATTATATCGTCTTCTCCAGGAATTATTTATTTTTATCCCACCAAGGATGGCCCTCAAAACTTTTCTCTCAAAAATGGCAATTTTATTTTCACCAGCTTGAGTTAGGTTCCAGGTCTCAAATCCATAGGTAAGTATTGGCCTAATTAATGTTTTATAGAGTAAAAGTTTTGTATTTTTTGATAAAAGAAAGGATTTGAAAAAACGTTTTAAACCATAAAAAGCTTTATTTGAACAAATTAGACGACTCCGAATCTCATTGTCTATGTTATTGTCGGCAGTAACTATTGAACCAAGGTAAGTAAAATTCTGAACAGTCTGAAACCTGCGGGAACCAATCTCCAGATAGGATTCAGTAAAATTTAATTTAGCAAGTGCAGGCATGTATTTGGTCTTATCGGAATTGATGATTAGTCCCATATCCCTAGCAGCAAGCTCCAAAGAAAGGAAAGCTTCTTTTAATGCAGGAACAGTTCTTGCAATGATGTCTAAATCATCCGCATACGCCAATAATTGAATAGATTTTGAAAATATGTTGTCCCTGATATTGATTTCAGCATCTCTTATAACTTTCTCTAGAGCAACATTAAAAAGAAGACAGGATAAGGAGTCTCCCTGTCTGACTCCATTATTTACTTTAATTTCTTCAGATAAAGATCCCAAAAGTTTGACTCTGCATACGGTGTTTGACATGCTTGCTTCTACAAGTCTAATTAGTTTTGGTGGTACTTGAAACTCAACCAGGGCTTCATACAAGCGATTTCTATTAATACTGTCAAAGGCTTCTTTGAAATCAATAAAGAGATGATGTGTGGTAATACCAAATTCCCTGGTCTTCTCTAAAATTTGTCTAAGTGCAAATATTTGATCTTTAGTAGATTTTCCCTTGCGAAAACCACATTGGTAGTTTCCAATTTGAGGGTCTATATATTGTATAAGTCTCTGGAATAAAATGTTTCACAAGATTTTGTAGGTAGTAGATAGCAAACTTATACCTCTGTAGTTAGAACAAACCATGGTATCACCTTAATAATTAATCACGGTTACAAATTATATGCTCTTGCTGTGTTTGAGTGGGTGAGAAAGATATAGGAATCGACTGGTAGGCAGAAACGTAAATTTGCATTCAAGACAAACAAAGCATTGTTACCATAATGTATTTTTTCTATGATAATCGAAAGATACCAATTTCGTAACGATAAGACAACAAGCTTAGAAGTTACGTACAAAAGTACACTCTTTGACTAGCACCTAATTTACACATCTAACATACACCGAAGAGCCATTACATTATGACCACCCTCCATCTATAACAATGGGCTCGCCCAGGTTTTCATGGTTTCTCGCCCAGGAACAATGTTTTCATGGGGCACATTAGGACCCATAATCCTCATAGAACAATCCCTGACGTCTGTAAGCTACTTGAACATAGTTGCAGACCAGGTTCACCCATTCATGGCAACAGTTTTTCCTGCGGGGATGGTGTTTACCAACAGGATAATGCACCATGTCATAAGGGTCGAATCGTCGAGGAACATTCCAGTGACTTTCAAGTCATGTCTTGGCCCCTAAATTCACCTGACCTTAATCCAATGGAGCATTTGTGGTCCTACTTGGAAAACAAATTCGTGCTGCCACGCTTCCCCCCTCGCAATGTAAGGGAATTGCAGGACCAGTTGGTGAGCGCGTGGTACCAGATACCTCAAACTACCTATCAGCACCTTGTGGAATCAATGCCACGGCGGGTGCTAGCAATTTTGAGGGCTAAAGGTGGTCCTACATGTTATTAGCAGGGTGGTCATAATGTATAAGGCTCTTCGGTGTCTATCTATCTATACAAATAAAGTATATTTTCCTATGTATATTTTTAAGCTAAATAGAATGAGATCGAACTCGTGTCAATATAAATTATAGTTCAGAAGTTGCAATGGGATTTTTTGTACAAAAAGTACTATTTATTACTTTTATTAATTAAAATTTTTGACATTGCTTTCGCATTGCTGTCTAGAAAAATGTGATAATTGTTTCTTGTGTATTTTTTATACGGATATTACCATTTACTTTAGAAGTAGGTACTTAACAGTTTGCTGGTTTCTTTTCGGATACATTAGTAATGCGATTTTTGAACTATTTATTCTGCATTATATGAAATTTTATAATTTTATGCAATTTTCTAGGATACGAAGATATTTAACAAAGATTATTATGAGACACACGAAATAGAAACAGCTGCAGTAAAAATCCAAGCCGGGACTAGAGGATATTTAACGAGAAAAAAACTGCAAGAACAACTTGATGAGGCAAACTATGCGGCTACAGTAATACAATCTGGCGTTAGAGGTTATATGAGTCGCAAATCGTATCAACGAAGTCAAGGCAAGGAAATGTTAAGGGTAAGAATATTTTTGGAAACGATTTAATATGTCATTAAATAATTTTTTTCTATTTTTGTAATTTTTTGATGAAATCTTTTTAATTATAATATTGAAAAATTTCTTTAGAAAATCTTTGTACGTCTTAACTAAAGATTTATGACCCACGGTGTTATAAAGATTTCGTCAGTTAGTATTGCTGTTAGCTCATAAAAAAGCCCATAAATCACTGAAAGATATGTAATCTATTTATTTAGATTTATATTCATTCACTTACCTTTATTTTCGATGGATAATAACTTTCTTACCCAGAGCGCAGTAAAATGAGATAGCTTGACTTTTTTTAAAAAAACAATTTTTCGTGAAAAGAAGTTTTAAATCATTGATTTCCCTCCATTTATGCAAGGTGTACAGCAATCATTACCTTAAATATATATAAATATATGTGTTATCATAATAAAAGTGTTATCAATGGTGATGAAATATTGATGAGAATATTAAATGTCAAAAGAATGATTTAAATATCTACGAAATAGTTGAAATGGTCACAAATAATGAAGTCGAGAGTGATAATGGAGAAATTGATACTCAATTGATGTGTTCTGAAAAAGGAGGGAAAAAAGTGAAACGTGATACTTAAACTTGTATTGAAAAAAAGAGATATTTTTACGTTCTTAAAAATCGTGAAATCTGTCTAAATACGCACAATAATTTAAAAATGTGCCATAAAGATATGGTGAGCGGGGGCCACTTAAAACAAACTTTTATAACGTTTCTTTTCAACTGTATAAATATAAAACAAAGGCACGTACATAGATCAAATTTCTTCATTTATTATTTTTGTTTTGTAAATATTATAATTTCGTTAAGTTGAAATAAATATCAATGTAAACAGTTGTTATAAATTATTTAATTATTTCTAAATGATTGATATCACTGACAATCAACCATATTTTTGAGTTTTCAGTTTTGTCTTCCTTCGAAGTTATTCAATATATTCCAAGAGCATTTTTGTTTCTTTTTCGTTTATGCAAGAATATATAAACCTTAAAGTCTTTATTTATTTATTTATTTTACACAAGAATTCTAAAATAAAACATTAAATGTGATTATAACGGAACATCTTTGTATTTTTTAAACGACACATTCCAGAAGCGAAAACATTTAACTGAAATTTAGCAATTAATGTGAGTTCCTTTTCCATCAAATCTGTAAATGTTGACAACTAAAGGCCTGGTTTCTTAGGACAGGACGCCGTCAGCTGGAAATCAGCGCTAACCTCTGATTGGTCCATTTGCGAGTTTGATAGTATACGTCATCGAACGCTCATCTTGAACTACAATTGCCGTCCAACTCAACTGCAGTTGGATTACAACGTGACGTTAACCACATAAGCAATGGCGGACAACATCCAACAGCACATTGAAATCAGCCAAGATTTTGATTTTGACATTAAACATTGCTTCTTCATTTAACATAGCACTCTTCATTTAGCTCAGCTATAATGTGTTTTTTCTTGGACAAAGTCATTATTTGTTTTCTAAAACGCTGGTCGACGAAAACAAAATCAATACAAATTCAAAATAAATATTTGCTTACGTTATTTAGCGCATGCGCAATGAGAGATAATGTCTGCGTTGGACCGACTGCTCACGCTGAGCTAACAAAAAAGTATTTTTTTGGCGTCAGCTCTACGTCAACTTTCCGCTGACGCCCAGATAAGGCGCTAGTTCTAAGAAACCAGGCCTTGAGCTAACAAACCAGTGTTTTGTTGGCGTCAGCGGAACGTTGACGTCCCGCTGACGCCCAGATAAGGCGCTTGTACTAAGAAACCAGACCTTAAGGGGAAGAAGAAGAAGAATAGTCTCCTACTGTTTACAAATTAAATCATATTACAAGTAGGTTCTAAAACCATCAGATAAACTAACAATTTATATTTAAAATGGAAAAAAAATCGATTAGCAATAAGACATTTAAAATACTCAATCATCAAAAACGGCAGGCATTTTTATCTGCTTTTTTTTTAAATAGAAATTGGGAAATTTTGCTTCTGGCCAGCTTAACAGCAGCCACTTTTTTAAATATGTGGCCATTTTAAACAAATCTGAGCGATTAACAAACTGTTAGTATTAAAAATTTAGGGCATTTCGTTTGAAGCGTTTCGCATTACATGGTAAACATTACAAGGCTTCATTTCTAAAATAAAAGAAAATTTTAAGAAACAAATTGGATAAATGGAATAATATTTTAAATTATTAATAATAAATCCATATTTATTTAAAAAATAATTACATTCAATCTATTAATTTTAAAAAGTGCTTGCGAGACGAAAATGTGGGATCAATAGCGCGACGAGTAGACAATTTTTATCGCAATATTTAGACGCTTTGTGATTATTTATTTCCATTTAAATATTTAAATGCAAGAAGTATTTATATTTTTTTCTTTATTACTAAAATGAATTTCCTTAAGTCTATATTTAGATTTTTGGGGGGACAGATCACCCCTATAATGTACTAAGTAATAATATTTAAAAAAAACTGATTGCTTGATTATGTTTATAAAGAAACATAATGAATCATCATTTGTTTGTATTCAAGAAAAACTTACATTATCATGAAAAAAATTTCCATTCGGGGAGTAAGATTTCCTGATTTTTATTTTCTTAAATGAAATGTTATAATATCCTTAACATCAAATTATCATTTTTTTTATATTTTTAAAAATAAAGTGTCTTTAGATAAATATCATTTATTTTTTCGATAAGTCACCAAAAAAAGTGAAAAATACTCAAGACGACCAAAGCAAGCCTGAAGAAAAAATTCTCTTTACGTCAGAAAAGACTGAAAATCTGACTACATATCCTTCTTTTCTTTTGATGGGAGCTTGTGATCCGTCTAAATTTGAATACGGTAAATATAACTTACATTATAAAGAACTTTTTAAAAATTAAGATACATTGTGGCATATTCAGTAGAAAAAATATCAACGACAACAAATAATTTTTATGATTTCAATTTTTTTTTTAATGTCAGTTTTTAAACTCAAATGTAAAACTAAATTCAGAGGTTCCCAAAGTGTGTGACGTGGCATCCTAGTATGGCGCGGAGAGAGATTGGGATTTCCAGAGGTGCATGTGGTATACCCCCATCTCCATAAAATAATGATAATTCAGAATCATAAGGAAATTGAATTCTAAACTAAAAATTTTACCTGCCGAATAATCACTCACATCATTAAGAATAATATGCAATTTACAGGAAGTCCCTAGGTGACCCGATAGTGCCTCACAATAAAAGTAAGGGGTACATAAAGAATGACGGCAAAGAAGGACAATTATTCGCAATCGTTCTGTAAGTCACTCAGTGCCATGACCGAATAGTTATGACAGAGAAGACGCATGTGGATGATTTTTTACACGGTAGAATCCGCGGCCATCTGCAATGTAGGCATGCTCAGATGGAAGTATCCGAGGAACTCGGAATTGCCCGAAGTGTCGTCTCCAGGTTTTGGTGATGAGTTCAAGATGATGGAAATTCCAGTAGATGTCAGACTACCGGAAGCTTCCGAGTTATAACACCGAATGAAGACCGGTATTTGGTAGTAACTGCCAAAAGAAACAGACGGAACATAGCATGGACCTATCTCGTTAGTACCACAGTTTCAGACATACCGTGAATGTTTGGGAAATATTAGTCTTTACTCACTGGCCTGTCAGATGTGTTCATCTCACGTCAACTCACAGTCGCCAGCATTTAACCTGGATGCCGTGTGGACGTCTTCACATTGGGCTTTTGTGATGTTTTCAGGTGAGTCCAGGTTTATCTTGCAGTCTGATTCACGTCGGACATTCATATGGAAAACGCCAGGTACCCATTACCACCAAGACAACATCATTGAACGACACCATTACGGCAGTGCAGGATTTCTCGTTTGGGGTGAAACTATACTGGATTTCAGGACAGATCTGCAAATTCAAATCGGAACCATGGCAGGCATCATTGAGACATCATTCTAGATGTTAGACTACATCTAGAATGTATTCAGACATGTACGTTTGTTAAGGAGTGCCATGGCGCAGAATTCGGGCTTGTGGATGACAACGCCTGTCCTCACCGAGCAAACACTATAAACGAATGCCTTCAATCTGAGGATATCACCCTAAGAGAATGGCCAGCATCCTCCCCTGAGTTGAATCCGATAGAGGATTTGTAGGACATGCTTGGCTGACGAATTGCAGCCCGTCAACCACCTCCTAGACATTCTCCGGAACTTCGGAGAGTATTGATTGTTGAGTGGAGTAATTTTCCACAAGATCAGCTCGATTATCATCATGCCGTGGCGTTGTACGGACTGTATTTTATCGCTTTAAAGGCATACAATGTATTAACTATAATACCAACCGTGTAAAATTAAGTTTGCTATAAAGGAGGTATCTTTTTATAATAGCTCCAAGGAGAGAAAAAATATTAAATTACGTACATTAAAAGGGTATAAAAAATTTCATGCGTTAGAATTCGAAAAATTTTCAGCTATTATTTAATAAAATAATAAGTATTTACTAAAATTTATTTTTTTGGATGGATCTTTGGATAAACGAATTTTATTAAGGTGTGCCAAAAAATTTCAATTCGCTTAGAAAGTTCAGATATAGCGAAACACGCAAAAAGTAAAATTAACATTTAAGGGTTTAAAATTTTGGAGACCATATTTCCTAGATTGCGACTACCCCTATATTTTGGGAATCAGAAATCAGAATTCGTCTAAAAAAAAGGTATGTTAATCCAGAAAAAGTACGCTTTTGTTTCTGATTTCGTAACTTAAAATATCGTCTAAACTAAGTAATTAGCATATTTGAGGCCACTCCATCGAGTCATTAAGATTGAGCCCTAAAATGTGAAGATCCGTTCATTAGATTAAAATTTATTCAGGGGGGTCCGTTTGTCTTTTTGCGCACTGTAGTGCAACTTTTGTTACACATTTAGCTTTCAGAAATATATCACATCTTTTTTCCTCAAAGCTTCCTATAAAAATCAATTTAAATCATATTTTCATGTATAAGAAAAAACAAAAGATTATAAGGAATATAAACGTAAAGATTAATAAAATAGAAAAGAAATCCATTTGAATTAAACGGTCCTCGTTACGAAAGTTATATTTTAAGATACATTTTGGAATTAAAAGAAAAATTCCTTCTTAACTTCTGCATAAGAGTAGTATTTTTTCTGATGTAATTATATGTCATAGATTTAATTTCTATTTTAATTATATTTCTTTTTCTCTTATAACGTGACGTATAAGTATAATAGGAACATGCAATTTTTTTCCAGGAGTTAATTCGATAATATCATACGATATAGAAGGAAGTGTTTGGGAAACAATAGCGCTCAGTCCGATTTCATTACTCAATGCCGGAATGGTTTCAACTGAAAAAACTCTATTCATTATTGGTAAGAAATACATTAAAATAAGTTCTGAATGAAAGTCTGAAATGCTTAAAAAATTGATGCAGCCTTCATAATTTTACGTATTCTTCAAAATGTTTAGTGTTTTAGATTATAATAAATTAGGTTTCATTCGTAGAAAAAATATATGACAATGATACCATATCGGTTTATCAAACTTTTAATTAGAGCTCAAAAATTTTTTCATGATATTCTGCCTTTTATTCCATATAAATATATATATATATATATATATGTTTGTTTTTACGAATCTTNTAATCTTATAATTGCCTGGCTATATATATATATTTATATTGGTTCACTATATCCGTTACTCAGGCAATTTAACTAATGGTTCCCAAACTCCTTCCTTTTATTACACATCATTCAAATAAATGACTGAAAGATATGAAGTAGCAAAAAATGTGTTTTTTTTTTCATTACTCTTCGTCTTGTGTACAAAAAAAAATTAGTAATCTTTAGCTGAAAAGCAATCCTCAACATGTTCAACAACATTATGGAAACACTTTCCGACTCTCAGATAATTTTTCCTGAATTTCTGTTATTCCGGTTTTTAAACCTGTCTAACCTGCCACTCGAGCAGATAGAAGTAGTCTCATAAAATGGCTTAGCAAATTCATCGACATTTGTACAGATACTGGAAGATTGCGGCTTCTTCGATTGGTGAACCACTTCCTTAATGCTTCTTCAACATCCTTGAGATCTGCGTTTCTCAACTTTTTTCTGCCTTCTAAATTTTTTTCATGAACAGAAATTATTAATTGCCTATTTTTCCATATGTTACAAACTGCAGATTTTGATAGTTTATATTCCCTGCAAATATCTGCTTGATTGCATCCATTTTCAATTTTTCTGATTATGCCCATTTTACGTTTAATGCTCGCCATAGTTAAATTTGAGACACTTGTTTGCAGGATTCTTTTTAACTGAACTGAGAGCAAAAAGGAGTTGAAATGAGGGCCTTATCAATACATATTATTGCTCAACCCTTTGACCAATTATGAATAATTACTCATTCCCTCTGACAGAAAATGCATATTGATCCCACTGACACCTTACAGGTGTATCGTCTGCCTCTGGGTTGGAAACATCTGCTTGGTTTGTTTAGGGATGAGAAAGTGAGATAAAAGAAGCAAACAAGAAAAAATGTTTATCGCTACATTCCTCTCTATAGATGGTTTTGAAAATCGGTATATGTATTTATTTTGAAGTAGAAATTTCAAAATTATTACAAAAAATTTTTTTAAAAAAATCAGTTGAAGACAGAAAAAAGTTCATTATATCCAACTTCCTCACTTTTTTGGTTCACTATATCCACAAAAAATAACATTATCCGTGTATAGCAAGGCACGGGATCGAACATTTCGTTCACTATATCCGGGAGTTCACTATAAACCGAGCTCACTATAGCGGGGTTTGACTGAATATATATATGAGACATGGTCACTAGTGTAAAGTAACGGTAACGATTTTATTAACTCACAAATGTAGTTATACACAGTACACCTACTCAAAAATAGTCGCCATAACTCTTGGCACACATTTATCCCATTCGACGCTAGCCGGTCAATTCTATCTTTGAAGAAGCTAGTAGGCTGCTGTCGGATCCAGGCCTGGACCCAGTCTCACACGTCGTGGTCTGTTGTGAATCGATGTCAGCGAATAACTTGTTTTAGAGGTGAAAAAACTGGAAAGTCACACGGTGAAAGGTCTGGACTGCACGGTGGATGTTGTTCCTGCCTACTTGCTCCTCGTTGTTCCAGCTTATTAACCTGCATGTTCCGAAGTGGGAGATAACTTGTATGACCACCTTCTCTTCGGAGTGTAACCACGCTGTCTCTATGAACGTCAAACGTTGCGCATTCGTCAGTCTCTCTACCAATAGATGGTGCCGTCATACACGCAGTTACGTGGCGTCCCATTACGTCTAATGCAAAATTAGACGCACTGACCAGGTTTCATTTGAATGACCCTCATCGAGCAGGGGGTGGGGATGAAACCTTCTAGTCTTCCTATATTAAAAAATTGTAAGAGCTGCTACCACAGTTGTTTTAGGTGTTTTACGTTATGTGTTGTCTTGTTACTAAAAGACTTTTAGACTTCGAAATTTAAAGTTATGAAGATATGTAGAGAAATGTACAGAGTACAATAAAGTAAAAAACTATATTATTCGATAATTAGTTCAAGAATTATTGACTGTTAAAGTTGTAATGAAAACTACCATATGGGTTAATCTTACTGATCGCAGAAATGAAATTACATGATATCTGATACGCTGGAAGAGGCCCATTTGATTACGGACATAGCAATTTTTTTTTTAAATTCAAATTAGTTCAAATGTCAATGCGAATTTAGATGCTTTTTTCGTGAATTTTTTCTCACCATTTTCTTTTTATTACATTTTATTTTGCTTCGCAAAAAACTATAAGAGTTTTAAAAAAATAATAAATTATAATGGATATCAAAAAAAGTTGATAAAACGACGAACGAGCACGATGAAATAAAATAATTTAACATTTGATAATTAACTACGGAATTATTAACTGTTAATCTTGTAGACAAAAATACGTCACCTACCGATCTACGCCCGTGTTGGAAAATTTCGTTTGAAAAAATGTTATTACGTATTGAGAAAATGTTCTTACATGAAACTGGAATAATTTTACATTTTGTAAAAAAAATTTTCTTGGTTTTTGTCGGAAACTTCGGCATTTATGTAATGAGAAAAATACATTATGAGAAGGAATTCGGGGAATCGGTGAAACGAAGACTGGACCTCTTAGTTTTTCTTTTCTTTCCTTTTGTTAATTTCAATGCATTTTAAATTTTGAAATAACTTAATAAAGTTGAATTAAAGTTATAAAATTGAAGCGACAACATATTTTTTTTTCATCAGGCGGATGCAGTATACGAGATGTGACGGAAGATGGAAGAATGGTTCCCATTAAAAATGGTTATTCATATGACTTCGAGGACGAAAAATGGAGCGTCTTATCACCCATGAATGAGCCCAGATCATTACATGGGGTGGTCAATTTTCAGGGAAGAATTTTTGTGATCGGTGGCATAAGTGATTTGAAAAAATTTCGGTTTGTACGAAACATCTTTTAAATAAATCGTGTCTACTTAATTACTTTTTAAATAACTAGGCAAAAGAAATTTTTTTGTAACTATGTCTAGTCATGCCTATTTCATTACTTTTTTCAATAATTAGGCAAAAGGAACTTTTACGTAACTACTAGTCACTATGTCTAGTCATGCCTACTGAATTACTTTTTTTAACAGTTAGGCAAAAAGGACCTTTATGCAACTATATCTACCAATGTCTGAATCATCACTTCTTTATAATAACTAGGCAAAGAGAACTTTTACATAACTACTAGTAACTATGTCTAGTAATGTCTATTTAATTACTCTTTTTTAATCATTAGGCAAAGGTAACACTTACGTAACTACTAGCAACACTGTCTAGTAATGTATATTTAATTACTTTTTTAATAACTAGACAAAAGGAACTTTTACGTAACTACTAGTAATTATATCTAGTAATGTCTTTTAATTACTCGTTTTTAATCATTAGGCAGAGGGAACTTTTATGTAGCTACTAGTAGCGATGTCTAGCAATGTCTAATTACATTTTTATAATTAGACAAAAGGAGGACAAAGTTTAACCTAACTACTTACTAATTACAGAACTAAAATTTAATGGCATATTTCAGACTGAGTAATATTAAGTTAGCCAAATAATTAATAATAAAATAAATTCGGCTAAAAAGCACATTACCGAGATAATCGCCATAATTTTAGTTAAGGTACAAGGGGATTTAGCACACCGATTGGAGGGGGGGGGGAATCCAGTGTAAAAGATTGAGAATTGATTGTCCAGCAACACATTGCCGGAAATGTCATCATACGCTGCTAGGGACTTTTTGCTTTTAGCACTTCAAAGAGATTGACCATATTTTTAAAAAAATTGTCATTCTTTTCACTTTATTATCAATTTGAAACTCCTAAAGTGGATCGTTTTTTGTTTTCATTTTTTTTTTCGATTTGAAAATGGTAACAGCATTAATAGCTTTTGCAAAAACTATTAATGCTGTTCCCTGATTACTTGAAGATAAAAGTAAGGGATAAATCCCCGATTCACAGAGACAGCTTAATTTTACGTACTGCTTGTGAGTATGATTCAGCTCACAACCTTTGATTAAAAGTATAAAAATTAAATAGTTAATATAATAATTTCCAGAATGCAGCTAGTACAATTTTTATTACAATATTTAATCTTATAATTGCCTGGCTTTTACTACAGCTATAAGAACATTTCTTTTAAATTCTTTTTTGATATCCTGAAACTTTACTTACCAGTATATTATCATCAATTGAAATGCTTGATGAAGCTTCTGGTCAATGGATGGAGTTTGAACCTTCTTTGCCACAGCCTCTGTTCGGAATGGGTGTCGCTGTTTACGATGGCCTTTTATGGATTGCTGGGGGTATAACACAGATTGGTGATGAAGAGTCCTATACAGATGCTGTATGGTGTTATGACCACAAGTTGAAACGGTAATAATTTCCTCCTATGTATAAAAATGAAACGTTTACGTTATGGATCATGAGTAGCAATTTTTCAGTAATAATTTGTTAATGAAAAACTCACCAGTAAAAAGCTAGTCACCCTAAGGGAAATCTTGAAAAGCATCATTTAATGGTAGTGTGCTTTTGGGTATGAATTGGGCCCACTATTTAAGATCCAACTGACATGAACCAGTATGTCTATTTCAGATCTCGTCTATCAATCGTCATCTTCATGATAAATAGGTTGTTGATGCCTCTTTTGTTTTTCAAGATAATCACGGAAAGTTTATCAGGCTGAAAGAATAAGAGTATATATTCTGTTTAGAGCAATAGATAGTATAACCGTTGTTGAACAGTCGACCCAATTTTGGGTTTACGGCTACTAATGTTCAACTCCGTAGCCTTATAGTTTTGAACCCATTCCAGAAGACAAGAGAACTCCTGGATCAAGTATTAGACAAAATTTGCTTTCGAGGAGGACTTTTTGATAGAACTAACCCGCATTTGCCTTACATGGCGAGAAAAACCACGATTAGCCTGACAGCAAGGGGACTCTAACCCCTGATCGGTCTACCACTGAGGATATTTCACTTCAGCACTGTGGTCGGTGCAAACCGGATGCAGAATTCGTATCGACCAGTCATCGCTGGAATTTGAACCCGGTTCACCCCATTGGAAGGCGAACGCTCTATTCGTTGATTCATCGCTGCTCAGTGCAATAGATAGTGGAAGTAAACGTTAAGGTTTGTTGCTTATCTCCAACATTACCTACATTTATAGGTTGAGCCGGGTTTAATTAATACAGCGTCAGTCTTCTGAATGAGGTGACCCCTTTTTAAATTCCAGCGGTGACTGGTTGTTGTGATTTCCGCTGCCGGCTCGCACTGACCACAGTGCTGATATAAAATATCCTCAATCGGAAACCTATCTCCGTCGGACTAACAATGGGAGGTTTTCGCTGTTTCTCTTTCCATGTAATGTAAATGTATGTTAGATCCATCAAGAAGTCCTCCACGAAGGCTAATTTGTCCCAACCCTTGATCCAGGAGTTATCTTGTCTCCTGGGTTGGATCAAAATTGCAAGGATACTTTGTTGAATATTGATAGTCGTAAACTCAGATTCAAGTCAGCTGTTCAATGCTGGTTGTAAAATAAGTTAGTATACAGCTGCCGTATCTTCGCTGAGTCTGCTGTTCTTTTCTTACTTACCATTGATCTGATTAGCACTGTTTATCATAACTTTGGCGTCAGCCAGCCAAAGGTGCCGAGTGTCAGGTGGCTAAGAGTTCGCTATTAGTTCATGCTGAACAGAATTTAGTTTTATGGACCCTCACACTCCCTATTAACTGTTTTGGCATCGCAAAAACACCTGCCTTAAACTCTATACAGAATCTAAAGTCTATGACAATTTGGAATAGTAGATAAAATGCCGAAATCAACATTCCCTCAGTTCGGTGGATCTGCGCAATTAAATTCTCTGCTACTAGCTTAAACTGGATACTACATACCTGCAAAACCTTTCGGATTCACTTCCGAACCGAATGTAGGCTTTAATCCAGAAGTGGAATTACATGATTCATAATTTATCTAAAGATTTAGTAGTTTTTTGTCCACAAGGCTTATTAAATGTCATGAGAGCAGCAAGAAATTTTCTAAACTTTTACAGCATGAAAACCTTTTTGTTTTGCTTGAAACAGTTTTAAAAAAAAAATATCCGTAATATTTAGGGATGTGATGCAAATCATTTTAACGGATAATAATAGTAATCTAAACTTACGTGAATAGAAGAAGTTGCTATGAAAAAGAAATATCGATAGCATGGGCGTCGAAAGAGTGTAATTTTTGAGGGAGATGAAAATAAATTACACAGTCATAATAGTTCTTTAAATTTCACTCATAAAAAAAATTCTGAAATCTGCTAAATACCTGCAAAAAGATTCTTTTTGCTATTAACATTAAGGAATTCCAATCGTTGATAATTAACGAAAATTTTCTATATTGGTCTGAAATATTGGGAAAGACTCAGAGATTTCTAATATTTGAGAACACATACCCCGCTAACGATGCCCATTATCAGTAGCAACTAAAGGACGCATCTGTATTTCAACAGCTTTAATACTTAATACTTTTTCCTGTGTTGCTAAATCCCCCTATCATTTCCTGGCATTAAAAAATTGTTACTAAAAACTATTAGGAATTAACTATATACGCATTCTCAGATTATTAATTTGATTTGGTAACTTAATCTTAATTTGTCATAAGTGTAAAGCAGGCTAAATAAAATAGTTCTTAATATCCATGAAAAATATAATGAACTATAAGCATGCGACATGCTAACATTGCTTTGCAACAATTTACTGATTAAAATTAAAATTGAAATACATTCAGATTAAAAAAAAAAAAAAAATTATGTACGAAATGTCCAGGGAGCCTATTGTTGGAGGACGAAATATCTGGGCCCCAAAAAATTCAGTGCGTTTGGTGATTTTTAAATGAGACAGTTTGAAATGCGAGTTTACGAAAATAGATACTGCTCAATGTGCACCTTTTCAGTTTTCAACCCAAATCTGATAACTAAACGAGAAATTCGGTCCTTACTATTCCTTATTTATTTAAACATTATGAGTATTATCACATCGGGGCAAAGTCCCGGACTTCTGGAACAGGGAGGCCAGGTATATTGCGGATGTAATTTCTTGTGTGATGTCTTCATATTCAGAACTTATTTATTTAAACATTATGAGTATTATCACATCGGGGCAAAGTCCCGGACTTCTGGAACAGGGAGGCCAGGTATATTACAGAAGTAATTTCTTGTGTGATGTCTTCATATTCAGAACTTATTTATTTAAACATTATGAGTATTATCACATCGGGGCAAAGTCCCGGACTTCTGGAACAGGGAGCCCAGGTATATTACAGATGTAATTTCTTGTGTGATGTCTTCATATTCAGAACTTATTTATTTAAGTTCTGACACATCGAATATTATCACATCGGGGCAAAGTCCCGGACTTCTGGAACAGGGAGGCCAGGTATATTACAGATGTAATTTCTTGTGTGATGTCTTCATATTCAGAACTTATTCTTTTTCTTTCGGATTCTTTTTATTCGGATTCTTTTTCAGTTTCATCCAATCAATAAACTATCCCTTCCTTACAGTAGTTGATGTTGATGATAATTCGTCAGATTTTTAATAACTATTGGTTATTTGTTTATTTATTTTATTTCATTGTTTTTTTACATGTTAGCTTGTAGCTCTATTGTGCCCTTTTTGACAAGACTTCTAAAGGTATGGGTGATAGTTACGAAACACTCTGTGCAGCAATTTTTATTTTCCAGGTGGTGCAATCGTCCATTTTTACCACAACCCATAGCATTTGGTACACTTCTTGCATCCGGACATAATCTGTTTTCTATTGGTGGAACAATTCGCTCACGAAGTGGAAATGATATTATAAGCATAAACAACATATACAGTTTTAAAAATGGAGCCTGGGTCGAGAATACACCAATCCCAAAAAATCTTCACAGTGTTGTTGCAGGCATTTATGGTAATCTTTATAAAATTTCACAAAAGCAGATGTTCATAAATGTTGTATAACAAAATGTATGATATCATACATTTTGGTTAGAATTTAAATATTCAAAATCAGCATATTAAATATTTTTATATAATTAGTTTATATAGTCGATATATGCATTTATAATTCGCACTTTTCAACAAAATAAGTACACATGTAACCGTTATTGTTACGATGCTCACAGATTTCATTAAAACATTTAACTAATGTTCAAAAATAAAATTAGAATAATGATATGTAACATGAATTTTTGTTCCTAAACTGCAAGTATGTATTTTTGCAGTATAGCGTGACAAGAGGAATTGGGGCTAGGAAAAGTGTGACACTTTGTGACAAAAGGGAAGAGCGCTTTCCTCCCCTTTTTCACCATGGGGCTCAGAAATATTGAAAAAAAAATGTGACATCATTAATGAACAGTCCCAAAATAGATATTATATCAAACCCGATTTAACGAACAACTATTTCGTGATTTAATGAATTATTTTTCTTGATTAAAAGAAGGGAAAAAATGTATTAACCACAAATTAAAGAATTATTTTAGCAGTTAAAAAAAACATTTGTAGCTCTTTTTGATGAAATTTAATTTACTTTAACAATTTCTTTATGGGTTTTTAATTTCATCAGATAAGTTAATGAAGATATAGACTGCAATTTTTATTTTTATTTATCAATGTTTCAGCCATCTTCTAAATTGCAATTCAAAAAACCTTAAAATGGTGGTTTTTTTATTGTAAATTTCACAAGTGTGAGTCAATCACTAGACCTTATCATTCATTCTGTAAAAATTTATAACAGAACTTTGTTCATGAAAAAAAGTGAGCATCGCAGAGCAGAAATGTGGGTTAAAGATACGAAGTTAATTTTTCGAATGCTCTATATTTTGTGTAACAATCTTGGGACTAAGTTCTTCAAAATACAATTGCAACATGCTTTCAAAAAGGTTTTTATGTCCATCAGGCACAGAGATGCAATAAGGTATAGATGCACTCACTGTATTTTTAGCTCTAGATTAAAAAGCATGCAAACTTTAGCTATGGATAGTTGCATGTTAGGGCTATCCCATAAGATAAATGTAATACTTTATTTATGCTTTTATTTTTGACACCTATATTACGAATAATACTCTGAAGAATAAAATATTTGATTCTGATGACCTCCTTCAATCCAGATACTGTATATTTCAATTTGCTTAGCGAATTATTTAATATTTTAGTAAATAATTTTTTTCAAAATAATTAAGTTGTCATTACTGAAAACAATTTTCTGATAGTTCTGAGAAGATTCTTAATGATTCTTAATGATGAAAGACCGATTGATTCGAATAAAATTGGAAAGCAAATCTTTGGTGACGGGTAGGAAATGTTGAGCAAAAACAAACAATAAAATCGTTTTAGGCAACGTTTTTACTATAAAAACAATTTTTTTACACTTCTTAGTTGAATAATTTTATCTTTTTCCGTGAAGAAATTAAAATGATAATCAAAAGCAGGCATGTAGAGTTGGTGATCGAAGATCTCTTCTTTCACATAATAATGATAATTGATAATAAAATCTAATTGGATAAAAAAATTATTTAAATAATATAACCGGGTTCGAATCCCAGCGATGGCTGGTCGATGCGAATTCCGCAACCGGCTTGCACCGACCACAATGCTGACGTAAAATATCCTCAGTGGTAGACGGATCATGGGATAGAGTCACCTTGCCATCAGACAAACAGTGGGAGGTTTTCGTGGTTTTCCTCTCCATGTAACGCAAATGCGGGTTAGTTCCATCAAAAAGTTCTCCACGCAAATTTCTCCCAATACTTGTTACAGGAGTTCCCTTATTTTCTGGATTGGGTTCGAAATTACACGGCTACGGACTTGAATATTAGTAGTCAGAAACCCGAAAATTGAAAATATATATATATATANTATATATATATATATATATAGCCGTGGCAGAACAGGGAATAGAGCAAACTCAATAAGGTGACACAGGTTGGAATCCCAGCGGAGGCTCTGGTTAATACGAATTCTGCTCCCGGCTTAAATCAACCACAGTACTCACGTAAAATATCCTCAGTGGTAGATGGATCATGGGTTAGATTCCCTTTGTCGTCAGTCGAACTTTGGAGGTTTACGTAGTTTTCCTCTCCCTGTAACATACATGAGGGTTAGAGCCATCAAAAAATCCTCTACGAAGGCTTGTCCCAATGCTTCACCAAGGAGTTCTCATATCTGCTGTATTGCGTTTAAAATTCCAAGGCTACGGGGTTGAACATTGATTGCCGTAAACCCAAAAATCGTAGGGTCGGGTTGACTGCTCAACGCCGGTTATTAAATAAAATAATATAGCCTATTTCAAAAACAAAATTACCAGCTATAAAAAAAACTATTTTACGTTTTCTACTTTTTTACGTTTACTTTTTAAAAAAGTTTTACTTTTGAAGGTTCGGAAACACCTGAATAAAAAAACAATTAATTTAATAACATACGCATATGAACTTAACAGTAAATAATATTAAAAACTACCGGGTACAAAGTAAATCAAAGAAAAAACATAAAAACATTATGAAATTTTTTTTAAAAAAATTTTGGTTTAAAATTTATCAGCAAAAATTGCACTATAGCACCCGAACTATGTAAAGACCCAGGTTATTTATTCGCCAATAACATCTTTCGTGAGTGTTACACATATATTTAATCTTAAAAATCATATTCAATAAATATTGAAACTTTTGAAAAAAAATTTTCATTATAAAACTAAACTCTGTAAAAGAATGACCTTGAAAAGAAAATTTAAAGTTTTATGAATTACAAATAAAAATAAAAATTTACTCTTTGTATTTTTAGCATATGCAAAATTTATTTGACTTAAAAAATGCTTTTTATCTTAATGATAAATAATGACCAATATTTTGGGATCAATACTCGAGAATAATATATTTATAATATATCTTTAATATGCAATATATCTATAGTATATATTTAATTTACAATATATCTTTAATCTATATATCTTTATTATAGAAAAAAATATCTATATATTTGGTGCTCTGAGTTTAGAAACGAGATGCCCTTTGGAACAGCCAATCTATTTTGACGGACGAGAACAAACATGGAAACGCGTGGTGTCACTTCCTGAATCGTCTTCAGGATATATCATCGCCTCAGCGGCTCGGCATGATTTTATCAAGAAGAGAAAGGAGGAGAACTGAAGCTTGCACAATAAATCAATGAATAAATAAAACGAAGATTTTCACACGGAATATATAAGATTTCATCTCCTCTCTTTTGATAATTTAATAAAGATACTCAGAAAAAAAGTTTGCGCCGCATTTATTATTAATTTAGAAGAAAAACTGTGAATAAGCAATTGAGTAATTTCATTTAAAAGTAGTTAAAATATTATTTTTTATTTTTGTATAATTCAACAAAAATAATTTTTAAAATTTTACATCTTTTTTTGAAATTTTAATTCATTATCGTTTCGTCAATACAGTAAACCTCCGATTATTAATTAGGTTAATTATTCGCTCTGTGGTTAACAGCGATCATTCATTTACAAATACACGTATATAAAAAATGTTGGAAATCAAAAAAAAGGTTTTTATATACTATTAGTATTCGTTTTGTGACACTTTATCCGCGTGAAGTTCTATCTCACGAAATTTTGTCCACGTAATTAGAGTCCACCCACTTTGTCAACGATAAATTCTGTCTCGCAACAATTTGTTTTTGCCAGATTCTGTTTAACTATTGTTCATCAGTGCTAGATTTTGTCCCACGATAGTTTGTCCGGCAGATTTAATCTTTCGGTAGTTTACTCGCTGTTTCCCGTTGTCTCACTATACTTTTAGATACTATCCAATGACAATAACGGTTTTACTAAAGCAAGGATATTTGCGAAGTGAGGAACAAAATTTCCAAATCATCTTCCTACTTTTTTATTAGCTTCTTTAAACTTGCTCTCCTGTTCCTATTGGCTAAATCACAATGAATGCGTTTGTCTATATCATCATTTGGTGTTTAGACACTGAAGAAGGTTCTTTAGTACAGAACCGAAATTACAGTATGGCCATTTCTGTAGATTCAATTGTGCTTTATCACGTTGTATTTTTTACTTCAATCTAGATAGCACAAAGTACACCCGTTCCTTGTTGGAAAAAACGGTTTTTCTGTTTGCTTATATATTTTTGAAAATTATAAATTTTTATTTATTCATTTATTTAATTGTTTATTTTTGTATTGACAAAACGTTAAATATATCCTATCCCATCATCATCTCATTTAGACAAACATTAGCACTTAAAAAAACAGTCCCATTTAAACCACAGTATCATCGAAATTTAATTATGGTTCAACTAGACATGTAGCTGACACTGAACCAATGTGTATTGGGATATAATTCAACGTGGGCGCTAATTTCTTTATTCCTTACGATGTGTACAGTGTACCCAGTTTGATACCACTTAATCCGTAATTACTACTAACCACTAGAAGTATTCCATAATTACTAATAACCACTAGAAATGTAAAATTATTCTTTACACAACATTGAGTTGAAGGGAATCCCTTTCCTTAAAATGCATGATCTACGGTTATAGTTGCTAATATGCTATTTTCTGACTATGATTCATTATTTCCAGTAACGGAAAGGGTTAATTTTAGAATTAAAATAGTGAATAAAATAGTGCAGTATCACCTGCAACAATCCTTTGGTAAATTAACTTTCTCCCAATTTACATTTTTCATTCAAATCCACAGGAATAAAGTATGGAGTGTTATTCACGAAATTCTGGAAGGGGCAGAATTCTTTGCAGCCATCCGACGCTAAAATATGTTTTTTTTTTTTTTTTTTTTTTTTTTTTTCAGGGATCGGTCGAATTCAAATATAGTACACAAAGTTAATGTGAGTCACCTGAAGCTCAAAAATAAGATCGGTATAATATACTGTTTGTCTAAGATAGGTACTCTTCCCGCCACAAAGTCTGCCGGCAGTCTGGTGCCCAATTATAGTGCTATGGAAACAAGAAGCTATGGAAACATAAGCTATGGAAACAAGAAGAGGGCATTTTAGGGCAGGGCTAAAGAGAACAGAAGGGCTAGTTCACTCCGCTCTTAGAGCTGAAGCTACGATTTCTCTCCTCATGACGTCACTGTGTCCACAAATCTCGGAGATCGCAAGCAAAGTTATTATGATAACTTTGCTTTTTTCTCTTTGTAAAAATAAGGTAGACTTTTTCTGGTTATTAGCTTTCAAACTTTACGTAATTAATACATTATTTCCGTTCATAAACATAGTTCAGAAAAACTTTCTTGGCCATTATATTAAAAAAAATACCATTTTAAACTTATAAAAATGTTTTACTAGTTGGCGAAAATGACACTATAAATACTTTATTTAAAAAAGTTCAGTTTTAACTTTAATTATTAAAAAAATGAAAGCATATATCGACACTTTTTTATCTACATATTCTTTTATAACAATAAGTTGAGTTAAATTTAGAATCCCTGATTTTAAAATATGCCGTTAATAGCAATTTGTTCATACTTAATCATTAGGAAACATCAACCTTAAACGCTGATTGCTGAAACAAAATAATAATTTAGGTTCATAATGACATTAGAAATTTTACAATTGTTTATAGATATTTAAATTTGCAATGATAATTTATAGATATTTAAATTTAAGAGAATATAATTTTCAAAAAAAATCATAAATATTTAGAATAACTACATTAAAAAATATGTTATGAAATTAGGAGAATTCCAACTATATACTATATATTTTATTTATACTTTATCCATATTTTAATTTTTTTCACCTGCTTTCTTTTTGAAGTAACGAGGCGGTTTCTATTTAGATAATGAATTTTTATAAAAGTTCTTAACGACAGAATAAACGTATGGCTGTTTTATATTAACTGTGTCATTTCGGAATCCCTTCTTTACACAGTTGTTCGTTTACTTTAGGGAACACGCTGAAAATTATATTTTTTCCTTTTGTTTTTCTATCAAAATTTTTTCAAGTTGCAATCGCGCAAACTGGCATTTCGATAATAGTTTTAAATTCTTGTAAATTCACTGCAAAAACTGAGGAAAGTCATTATAGAAAATAACAAATGTCTTAGAATATCTCGCAAAAAGAAATGCTCCAATATTAGTTGGAGAAAGTAAGGCCGAACGCTCCGTTCTCGAAGTAAAAGTGCGAGCTTTGGTAGTAGTAGTAAAGTAGTAGAGAGTAAAAGTGCGAGAAGAGGTCTCCTTTTCTCTCGCCGAAACCAGTCCTAAAGAGGAACCCCGCACCCCCTTGAAATAATCATACCTCGTTACCATAGTCACCGCTACAGCTCCAGACGAATGTATGGAAGAGTACCTATCTTAAGACAAGCAGTAATTGTTTCTTCTTTGGCAGCAAATTCAGGGACTGTAAAACTACTGCAAGTGTTGCATCATGCTAAAGTAGAAAAAATTCATTAAATAATTAAACTTTTGAATATTAAGTAAAACTTTAACAAACTGAGGAAAAAGCTAAATAGATAGAAGTTCTAAATGACATTTTAGGGAATTCAAGTAAGTTAACTTCAAAGTTTATGCGCTGGCAATAGGAAATAATGACCAGGGTTGATGCAACAATGAGAACAAATAGAACTTTAAGAAAATATTAGAAAAAGAAAAAAAATGCTGAATTATTTTATTTAAAAAATATTAATATTTATTGGAAACGCTTTTGCCGGTAATATAACTTAATTTTTATTCATGTTCCAAATTAAAAACGTCTGCATTAAGGTCAGTGGTGTAGTACCGAGCTAGTGGCAGGCCTGGTTTTAGCCAGGGGTGCCAGCTCGAGTGGGGGCGCAAAAATTCCTTGTGCAGTGTAGTAAAAAGTTTTAACGCGTCAAAAAAAATGGTGAAAGACTAATATTCTTTTATTTTTCCTTCCAAATATTTGTTTTTCTTTCAATTAGTGACCTTGATTTATCAGGAAAAACACTCTTGTGCAACGGTAAAGGTTATTTCCTGCTTGTTATTACCCTAGACAAAAAATAATCAAGGTCTATGTTAGAAATTCGTTTTGAGTAACGTTTCACTTCCTTTTCTTCTCGACGCAACAATGCTTATCTATGGATTCACTAATTACAAAGAATTGCGACGTTCAAAGTTGTTTTTCTGACTCACTCTTAATGGCTGAAGGGTGTGACCTCAAAAATTCTAACTAATAAGTGCAGACGATTTTTTTAAGTTACAAAATCATACACAAAAACGTACTTTCCCTAAATAAACATACCATATTTTTCGACGGTTTCGGATTTCTGATCCCCAAGGCATTGGGGGTACCCGTAATCTGAAAAATATGCTCCCAATAGTTTGGTCAGGATGGAGCTTCAAAGTTTGGACCCCATTATGTTTACAGGGATCGTGGATTTGGTGACAGAAAGGGCTTTAGCTCCCTCACATTTTATAAATGAAGAGGCCCAGCCCCTTCTAAAATTACAAATTTTCAATGAATATTTTTCGTGTGGTTAAATTTAGAATTTAAAAAATAGACAATTTTTATTTGTCTGAATTCTAAAAAAATGTCTCTACTATATTAGAGAACTTCAACATTTCCCTGGCGGGAACTGCTTCCTAATCATTGAGCGCAAGGCAATGTATGTTGTCCCCATGCTGACAGATGGAGAAATTTTTAATTTCAAATAGTCACTCCATCTTTTTTTAACAGTGAAGAAGAAAAGAAAGCAGAGTGAAAGAGTGGGAACAGCGAACAATATCTCTTATAACAGATAAGTTCGTCATCGCTTGTGAAATTCTGATATGTAAGATTACTATAGACCGAGACCGAGATATGTAAGATTACTTAGAGCCCGAAATATATGCCAGATAAAGACCAAATTTTAAGGTCTTGCCACTCGGCTTTTTATGTCTAAGCAAGAAAATTACTCATTATAATATTCTTGTTGTTGTTATTGTTACTAATCCTTCATGACCTAGCAACAGCTAGATCTGGTTCATGAGTCCATGCATGTTGGCAAAGTCAATAACAAGAAGTGGAGATGTTTTTAGGTCTTCCAAATCCAGACCCAAGCAGTCCAGGATTTGCTCCGGACAGGCTGGCTCTGAATGACACTTATTGCAGGTTGAAAAAATTTTGCAGCCGGAGCTAAAAGTCATTCCTTTGAGATGACCACTATTTAGTCTTGAAACTGCTGTCATATCTGGCCGATCCCCCTCGAGCTCAAGAATGCAGCCGGGGCGCTTTCTACAATACCAGTGGTGAGCAGGGGGAGTTAGCCATCTTATGCCATAATATTCTTAACACTAACCTGCAAAACAAAAAGTGAGAAGAAAGACTGAACTGACTGAAACCCCAAAAAGACTAAAACAAAAATTAAAAGTAAAATTTGAAGCTAAATAAAAGTCATTTGCAGTTCCGTCTTTACGAATGAGCAAGCTCTCGAGCACCCTTGAAAATCTTACTTTCTATAAATTGTTTTTAAAAAAATTAAGAAGAAATACATTGTTTTACATTTTTTAAAAATGCCAGGAGGCTCTGCCTCTGTTAGCTTCGCTCACCAACTCCTGTATTTGCTTTCAGAGTTGGCCAAAAATGTAATCGATTACATTTTTTGATTACAGTAATCAATTACTTGTAATCATGATTACAATTTTCAAAAATTTTGATTACAGCTGTAATCATGATTACAATATTGATTCAGGGTTTCCGCTACGGTAGCTTTTTTCGCAAAAGGCGAAAAGACCCCTCAAAAATGCTAAAATTCAACAAAGCATTTTCGCATTTTTGCTAAAGGATTTTACTAAATTCCATTAAAAAAAAAAGCTTCCGCGAAAAACCATGACGCTAATATCCATGAAAAAAACTTGATCAAACAAGAAGGAGAAAAAATCTAAATATCTTTCGCAAGAAGAACCATGACGCTAGCGTTCACGAAAA